ACATTAATAAAGATGACTATTATGAAGCATTGAAATCGGTTAGTCTCCATTCAGCTCAGAAACGTTTGTGAATATGCTAATGCTCCTTAACACATCTCTGTGCCACGTCTTGTTCAGGAATAGAACAGCTATCTACAAATACATCTGAGCATATGTAGATAAGTCTGTGTGTGACTGATTGTGGAGTGTGTTAAATGGCAAAGTTTTCATTTGCCACAGAAAAGCTTTTTTTTTTTACATTTCACATGAAACTTGTTTTCCAACATCCAGTGACTCAGACGACCATGATAACAACCGGCTACGGACACTGGAGAGAAGAAATACCCAGATCAGTTCAGCTCACAGTCAAACAAAGTGGTGGCGGCATCCCACTGTGGGATGTTTTTCCCTAACATGTAAAGAATGACAGGTGGCACAGGAAAAGGGAGAGAAGAAAAAAAGTCTTAAACTGTCCTCTGATAACTGGCCGGGAAGACACAGAGACTCACATCTGCAGTCATTCAAGGAATTTAAGATGATTAAGAGAAGGGAACCATTTCTCCAAAATATTTCTCATTTTCATTATTTGTTCATTCCATAACAGTTTCTTTGATAACGAACTAAAGCTAGAAGAACCCGTTTAATTTTTCAGACTATTCTCACCAATCAGATCTGCTGGGAGAGATGACATGAGATGAGACTTCATCCTTCATTTAATTCTGAGTGTCATAATATGGTCAAATCAATCAGCCTTAAAGAAGAAGGCTGAGAATACAAGCTGAATATGTAATAGTTAATGTCTGTAGTCCCATAAGGTTCTTAAGCTAAACAATGTGTCGGCTTCGGAGGTAGGTAATAAACACAAGTCCTATCTGGACCGTTTGATGGACTCTGACCTTTGGTCTGGATGCCATGGCAACAGCATCCAGCAAGCCAATCACCCCTGCGGCACTGAAAACTCAATTCTATTCTCTATTCAGACAAATAACTCACACACTTAAACACACTCCCGTTAAGTGGGAGGAAATATAATTCTTCTCTTTCCCTCAGCCTCCCACTCCTGCCTCCTTTCTCTGACCACGCCGCTCAAAGTCTGAGATTGTAATTGAATTAGTCGGACGGAGATTACATAGACTATTGTCTCTCTCTGAAATTGTCCGTGAGGAAAACGGCAGAGTTTGAGGTAGAACGGGAACTGAAGCTGGAACTAAATAGAATTAACTTATGAGCATGTAATAAAACTTCCACAGGCATAGTTTGTCTTTGAACAGTCCTACATTCAGCATTAAAGTGTGTGCAGAGGCACCGTCCCTTTTTTTTTTTTAGAAAAAAAAGGTCATTAGGTGCTCTTTTACCTAACAAGATCCCACTGGAAAAATGAATAATCATGCCACCTTTAATAAGCCAATGATTCAAAGCTAAGGTCAATGCAATAAAAGACCAAAAGCACTTCATCAGTTCTTATTTTTAAAAGCCCTTCCCTTTTTCCCACTCATGAGTAGAACTGAAAGAAATAAACTGCTGATGCTTTTAATTTTGCATTTGAAAAGCATGTGTGAATCTCTTAAGGAATTCTGTTTTCCTGATTCTTCAAATAGAAAACTAATTTTAATTTATGTGTGAAATATATCAAAGAAATTCTGCCAGGGGATATCACTATTTTGGCATAAATTTGTAAAAAACCAAGAGAAGTTGTGAGTTCAGAGTCAAATTATCAAATTATTTATTCTATAATTGGTTCTAAAATAATCACACCTTCAACACCTGTGCGCTGACACTTCTGCTCCTCTGGCTCGCTGCTAATTAACTGCACAAAATCCAGCCTGTACACAAACCAGCAGTATTGCTCAGTGACAAGGTGAGAGAGTGGTCAAACCACCACCATCTGGCTTCTCTCAGGAAATATCAGAAAAATAAGAGGGATTTTTCGGGAGCGAGGACAGACATGTGTTTAAGGATGCTGCCTTAGATCCCCTGACAGTTATCTGTCCCATCAGGAGGAGTTACGGATATCTGCTCCACATGAAGATTTACTACAATTTCAAGGATAGCTTCAAGGTTTTAATGAGAAAACTCGTTAAATCAGATACTTTAAATGATTTTTCTGATTGCCAGCCATGACAATTTAGCGTCGCCATTTTAAATGGGAAAATATTTTCAATACCAGCAGACAAAGGTAAAAAAAAAAAAAAAAAAAAAAATCTCACCCGAAACACAACTTTAAGAAAAGATTTCAAATCTTAACTTGATAAATGTACAAAATTCCAGTCAACAAGACTTCCACAACCGTCAGGATAAACTGAACAAACCTTGGCTTTTTGAATGTGTCAAATAAATGCAAGATATGATTCGTCTTCAGCAGAAAGCCTGGGTTGGATTTCATTTTTACTAAATTAAAAGAAGGATGGGGTAAGAATGTGTAGCCTTCAGTCGAACAAATCTGAAAAGTACGAGATAAAAACCTGAGAAATAAAAAAAAAAACAAGGAACAAAATCAGAATACTTGACAACATCTGATTTGAAGTGTACAGAATATTGAGCCTGTACCCAATTAAATGCTATGACTGAAATAATTCAAATCTTTCAAAAGTAAATTTCCATTATATAGAACAAAAGGTATTTTAATGTATTTTAATTTGAGATGTGGCAATTTAATAAACACACACACACACACACATCAAAACAGCTGAAAAAATATTGTCACCATTTTATCTTCAAATTTGCCATTAATGGGGATTTTCATGGGAAAGCTTTCCAGTGGCATTTCCAAAGACCACAAACAAAAATGAAAAAGTGCAAGATCACCGATTTGTGGTCACAGGCAGATTGGATTTGACGTTTTTCCTCTTAAACTGCGTGTAAGGCGCACCATCGTTCTGGAACTGGTGCGATTTGTCCTTTAACTGTTAGTTCAATGTTATCTACTGCTTCTCTCAGACAAGAAAGAATGTTTTAGTCCTTGTGTATTTTTAAGGGCTTGACATACTGTATAAATGATTTTTGCAGGTGTACAGAGAGGAGCATCATCTGTGAACCATTTAAACCACTGTAATATCGACTTCCTGACAAAATGGATTTATTTATTTTTTCATTTTATTCCACAAACGTTGCTAAAATGGTCATTTTAAAGGTGATCATTGCAAAAACTCATTGGTCCAACTCAGTGGTCAAAAGCATAACAACAAATCTACACATTTGCAAAACATTCCTTTATTATAAATAAATCTCCTTTTTGTATAAAAACTGGCATGCTTCAACCATGGCGTTTTACAGGTTCACAACCCAAGGCTACAACCCAGTATGCCAAGACAGCAGGAGGAAACACACTCATCTCATTATGCAAGGGCGATCCATCAGACAACGGTGAGACAAGAATGAAAAAATCGTCACAACCACAAAAATACTTACAAGTAGAGAACAACAGCAAACATGTTTGAGTCTCATAGATTTTCTCTTACATTTTTCTTTTTAAATATCTTTTAAAATGTTATCTGTTAAATCTCTTTTCAGCCCCACCAGTGCCTTTTATATATAATTTCTACACAGTTCTGAGTTTTTTTGTTGTTTTTTTTCTTCCATTTTTCATCTTTTGTGATTTTTTTAAAACTATTTTGTGGTTTTTAAATAGTTTTCCTGTCCAACAGCCCCCTGTGGGATGTTACTTTTTTTCTCATTGTAACTTTCTTTTGTTTTTTGTTTTTTTTGTTTTTTGTTGATCAGGTAAGTTCATATCGGACCAATGAGCTGTGAGCAGCAGCAAAGCAGGCACACTGACTGGCTGTTTTATGTGGTCCCACCTCTTTAGTTTGATGGGGAACAATACAAAATGTCTCATGCTTGGATTCCATTGGGCGCTCTCTGTCCATCTGCCAGTTCTTCAGCATGATGCTTTGGATGATGGCGTCTTCACTCTCACTTGGCCCTGCCCCAAGACACGCCCCCTCTCTTATCCAATCCCCTTCTTCTGTAGTCCCTTCAGATGGCATGGTTACTGTAGCTGACATATGTTGTCTTAGTTGATGAAGCTGCATGATGTTGGTTCAAATGTAGAACATGGGGTTGAACAGAAGATTGTGTGTGTGAGAAGAATGGAAGTGGAGAAGGAAAGACAGAAATTGGAAAAAGAGAAAAATATACGAAAGGGGTGAAGATGAAAAATATAAACAAGAGAGGAAAAGCAGTTTAGAGATCTGGCTCTGGATAATAAGCAATATTCGTTACATCCACAGACCACCTGAGAGGCTCATGTTTCCGAACCAGGGATTTTGCCTAAAGTATGTTTAAGTAAATGACGTCGTCGCTGTAGCATCACTTCCAGTTTTCTCCACTTTACCCATGTTTCACACAGCTGCTTAGAATATCAATATAATCCCTGTGCCTGAATATGAATATTCATCAACACTGGATGAGGACAATTGTTTGCCATATACTGTATTACTGTAAATGTATAATTTGAAATCCTTAAATAATATATCCACATCTTCCTTTACTGGTGGAAATAAAGTTCGGACGGAAAAGCTTGTTTGTTTCTTTGGACTGTAAATGTGCTCATTTGCCACCAGGTAAAAGCCGACCGACAATAACTCACCTTTATGTTGTTCATGCACATTAATACACACTCCACATACATACACATAAAGCTTCACAATATGGTATTTAGAAACTGACGCTTCTGCAGCTATTTTCCAAGCGAAATTTAAAAAGCCCGCGGTGAAATTGGTTCTCTGAATGAAGCTCAATAAACTGCGAGTAAAGGTTTATCTGACCACAGTGAACACTTGAGAAAGGCTTGTTTATATGTTGACATGCAATCGTCACTTAAAAACAAAAATTGATATTAGTTTGTTTAAGTAAATTTAGCAAATTTTGTGTTTGATACTTTTTCAAACATCAAACCTAAATATGCTTTACACTGCTGAGAATGTGAAATATCTGAATGAATTTAATATCTATATCTATTCAGGGTAACAGGGTAATGGTTCAATGGTTTATATGTGTAGTTATAAAACTTTGGTGTTCTCTTACTCACTGTTGGTCTCCATGCTCTCACACAGTTCAGTCTTAACTTCTCCATTGGGCCGGTCTCCGCCCTTCTGGGCCAGTTTTCCCGACATGGCGGCTGCAGTCACAATTGCCTGTGGAATCATGAATCCAACACCAAAAGCGTCCGCAGCATCAGTAACTAATTCAAAAGGAACTGAATAATCTAAAGTAATTAAATAAAAGCAAAACAGAAACATAAGGACATTTTCAAAGTACTATTCAGTGTTCAACTTTGTCCACTCCGAGTGTCTTTGTTTGCGTCTAAACTCTGAGGACACACGGGCCCACAGCCTGACTGACTGGACCTGATCTGCTGGCATCTCCGGTTTGAAATGTGACGTGGAGCCATCCTCTCAGGCAGCTTGTCGTTTTGTACTTGTCTAGGTCTGGTTAGGATTTCAAAAGTCGTGGTTTGCCTTGCGGTCATTTTTTCTGTGGATTGATCTGACAGGACACACTTGAAGGTTTGTGCAGAGATGCTCCATTTGTAATTTTGTACGCTTCTTTCCACATTGTGCTTTCATGTGGCTTTGTGGAGATACAAAAGTACATTCTTCCTGCAGCTCAGTAGTGCTTTACATTACCTGCTTTTGCTACATCACACTCTTGTTGTCTGTATTGAGTTAATCTAGCTCTAATAACATTATTTTTTAGGTGAACTGGCAGTGATAGTAGTTGGCTCTTTGTTCTCCATTTTCTCGTAATGTCCTTTTTTCATGATTTCATTTTGCATTGAACCATGTCCATTTGGATGGTAATGTAACTTTCTATAGCATAATAATAGTCAATCTCACCTTGAAGCTGCGTTTTCGTTTGGGAACGTTCTGTTCAGGGTGGAAGAGGATGATGTAGACCTTGGGCATGTAGAGCATTCCAAGCGAGACGGAGGCGGACAAGCTAAGAGAAATTGTCAGGGTGGTAGTTTGGATGTACATCTGAAACAAGAGAGACACATATTCAGAGAGGAAAAATATTTTTTTTTCTCAGTTCAATTTATAGTTTCAGATAAAAGCAGAACTCAGAAAATAGGATGGAAAAAGATTGATTCGAAGTTTGTTAACATCAATGGACATATCAGAAATTAATTTAAAGACGTCTCCTGGAAAGTTTAAATTAGGTTTAGTGACTGGCAACAGCAAACTTTATATTTCAGAGATTGAGCCACACATCTCCTCAAAGCTACAAGGTAGATTTCTTTATTTATCCAGCCAAAAATGTGCTGACTGACGGAAAAAGCACTGCGAGGTGGACAGCCGGCTGCAGATCGGGTGAAGGAGGTGGCAGGTACTGGTCAAGGCTATAAAGGACTTAGGATATAATGTATGATATGATGATGTGTTTTAGGAGGGCAGTGAACATGATTAAGTTCGGCAGAGTTGTCTGTCCAATTAGGATGCACTGATTCTGCCTGCTCAGTTTGAGCACACACGCTGAAACATGCACTCTGGTGGACTGAGATCTACTCTACAGATACTCAGTGAGCTTAAGAGAGTAGTTTGGAGGAGGACAGATGTAATGACGGGCCTCACCCACAATCCTGAGAAAGCTGACAAGCTCTCCAGACACAGTGCTTATCGGGCGAGCACTAATCTTGGTGTATATGAAAATAGAGAGAAGAGCAGTAATGGACAAGTGCGGTAAAAGGGGAAGGAGGTAGCCAAGAGGGAATAGTAATGGAGAGTCGTGGGGAGATGGAAAGTAGGGAAGAAACATGACACAAAAATCAATGTTTAAGGATGCTATAAGTGAGATAAAGAACAAAGAAAGTGACTTGTAGGGGTACTTATGAAGAAAAAGAACAGTGCGACCAGACATACCACACTGGTCAGCAGAGTTGAAGAGTGAACAGATTAACTGAAAGGGGCTTTATTGCAAACTACAAGCCGACAAGAAGGCGGAAGAACAAATATCCTCTTTTGCACCACAGTGGTTTCAGTGCAGAATTGCAGCTAACTTCGATCTTTCTGTTCGTGTTGAAAAGCACTAAATCCAAACAGAAAAAAAAAACAGATGTTATATTTTACCAGCCCGGCTTCAGATAAGTCAGCCAGAAGCAGAGTTATGGAGGCTGGCCAGACCAAAGCAAATCTGGTGGGTACAAGGATCTGTTCTCTCTGGAAAATCAGGGAAAGGGTTGTGTATGGGAGTATGACTGAAGCTGTTTTAACTGGGAAAAGCTTGGGAAAAACATGCCAAAAGAAAAAAAAAAAATCACACCAGAATACCAAACAGAACAATTTGGCTCAGCTGGTGGTGATCTGGAGACTTTGATCCATATTCAGTCAAATAATTATTTCTTAGCCAATAAAACTACAGCCAAATCTAAATTGCTCTAATTGGAGTGATCTTCATTTTTTTTAGCATGGTAAATTTTCAGTATTTATTTCAAGAATGCCTGAATGAAGAACAGATCCGGCTGTTGATGTCAGTGAACTCCGTCTCCTCTGGCAACAGCACCCACCTCATGCTGTCCTCTGTTGCGTTTCACCATACAGTGAATCGAATTAGCAAGTGTGCCTGAAGTAACACGTTCTTTATGCAAATATCAAACAGCAAACATGTAATTTTCCAACAAAACTTAACCAGACCTTGTTCCCTGTCAATTGGGATACAAGTGGTCAAAAAAAGGTTCAACAAAGATTATAATACTTTAAACAGATATATATATCTGAATAGTCCCTCTGGACCTACATACCTACATACTGTACATACAGTATATGCTTAGGAAGTTAATGTATGTGCCCTAAGGTGTAAGTTGAGCACAGTTCCGAGGGCAAATAACTGCATGCACAATAACCATCCAGGACTCAGAATATTAAAAAATAACATGGAAATAGCAGAAATAGATATTCTTTCTTTTTTCCTTGTGTCCTTCTTTTCAGAGTAATAACAGAGAGTGTTTGCCGAGGGTAAAATACCACGCCTGAAGCTCTCCTACGGGCTCTGATAGCAGCTCACACTCCACAAACACACACAAAGCACTCCAAGAGACTGTTGTCAGTAAAGCAAGGAGAAAAAGACCATGAGACAAATATGCATGGATGAATTTCAACATTTAGTCACTTAGGCAAATTAATATTTTACACATTTTCTGCCAACAAAATGCTCTTGATAGAGTAGCTGTGATTCACAGATCAGTGAATCGCCACATCACACACAAACAGATGGAGAGAAAAACATGTTTTCATTCAGGGAGATGGGAGAAAATCAGAGGTTAAAAAAATGGATTTGCAGGACTAGTGAGAAAAATGCTTAAAATTTAGTAACATACAAGTGAAAGCTAAGCAGCTATGAAAAGACATTGAACTGGTGTTATTAGAGCAGCAGTAAGTCTGCAGAAAGGTGTTTGCATTGCGCTCGGCCTTTGGTTCAAAATCGTGTCTTCCCACGGGCAGGAAATGAACATCCTCCACGTTAGAGTCAACGAGTGATAATTGCTCAACTGTGAGCACAATAGGAGCACATTTCCTTTACAGAAACAAAGACAGGAACTAATGAACTATGGATGGCCATGCAGGGCGTTTCCTTCCGGCTTAATATAGTAAAACATCTAACCCTAACAGGCAGGAGAAAAAGATATCCAAAAGAAAGAGAAAGAAGCAGGTAGACAGACGGCTGTGACACGAAACAGGTCTGTCAGACACTTAATGAGGGGAACTGCAAAACTACAGTGCTGATTACAAAGATTCACTATTGATGTATTCCTTCGTTGTTTACGTCATGAGGAAACATCAGGAATATAAGGATAAAAATGTTATTTTATTCGAACGTTTACCTTTTCCCACGAAGTATAAACAAGTAGAATCATTTTCTTGACAACTAAAATCATAAACACTTGTTACCTGCTGAGCGTTCAATTCCCCCAAGAACACAACCCCCCCTCTACAGCTTCATTATTTCTGAAGTAATAAATGTCATGAAAATTATGTTGCAAAGTGTATATTGTGCCTAGAAGGTACGAAACAGCAGAGCCATCAGGAGCAAATGGAACGGCTTGAGATTTGAAGCAAAGCCAGACAATATGAAAAAATAAGAGAAGCCTGAATGTTTTGGGTGGTTGGCAAGGTAACGGCAGCTCATGAGGAATGATGGCGAGTGTAAGCAGGTTCAGGAGGGAGTGTGTAGTTTTATGCCCAAATTCTCCTCAACTTTGAGCTACAGGGAATGTATACCAAGCCCTGAATACTGGTTTTCTGTAATTCACTTGAATATTCACATATGGCTGCTGATGATGGGCAGCTCCAGAGCTCAGCTGAACATTAATGGGTGACTCACAGCAGAATCACAGAACAACTAAAGCGTGGCCGTTCATGTAAATAAGGCAAGCATGAGTCTGGCTACTCTGAAAATGTCACAATGAAATACATTTTACTGCTAAAGTCTGCTTCGACGTCAGAATCAAATAAGACGATAAGACTTAGACGATGTAATGAAAACACACCCAACCAGAGTTACTGGTTTATTTTTTTCAGAATTTTATGTTCCTTATGTGATGACTCAAGCCATGAGGCTTGAAACTAAACCATTTGCTGCATATCTTTCAATGGATTTTAATGCAGTCGTGACACACAGATGTAGTTTTCCTAAATTTAGATGTTTAAACAGTCTGAATAAATGAATATCCACTGATGAATAAACATGCATGTCAAAGTTCGACTATATAATGACAGGAGCCCAGATAACTACCATTAATGTTATGCTTTTTCTTAAGATTCTGTAAGATCTCTTATCTGTCAGAATCCTTAGATATAATTCATACTTCATTGTTCAATAATTCATGACAATCCACACAAGAGCTGGCTAAACAGGCTCGACAACAATTCAAGCCATGAGTCAGTATTTCATGATCTGCATGAGAGGAGAGAACTATTAAACACCATGACTCCTTTTTTAACAGTTACTGCAAACTTGATGTCTGACACGGCTTCTTCCCCTCACCTTTTTTCATTTACAACCTGCTGCTCTAATTCATCGATTGTGTCAGATTATCTTCAGAGGTGACAACAGTCTCCAATGTGGGATTAATGTGCTATGGCCCTTTAAGGTCAGCGAAGAGATTCCTTCAAAGAATATAATGGCGTGTAATCTTTTTTTGCCCCTCAGGTTAGCTTCTTCTCTATTCTCCTCTTCCCTTTTTCCTGTGAGTTACTACAGCCCGCAATTTCAAAAATCGTTGGTATGCTGCTTCAAATACAAAAGATAAAGAGAGCCGGATTATTTGGAACCCTAAGAAAGTCATGTTTTGTTGATTACAGAACATACAATAGTTGCATATGTTTTGCTAGGTGTTATTCACTCCAGATCAAAGATGGCAGACTTATAGGCAAACTTTGAAGTCTTGCCTCATATTTTCCCTATGTCATCGCTAACATAACATGACGGCCAGACTCTGACAGATACTCTATTACTATGACCCATCATTTAGTTACCTCAATGTACCTGTCAGATCAAATTACATTCCTCATGGCAAATGTGTGTTCTTCTTTTATTTTAATGATGTGTCTGAAAAAAATTGATCACACCTTAGTCAATGTTACACATACATATGGAAACCTCCAAAGGTTTATGAAGACATTCTGTAAAAGCAAACCAGCAAAAGTCCTAGAAAAGCATGTTTGATGAACCAACACATGAAAAAGGCATTACATTAAATATCTCGTTATTGCTTTTACTTTCATACCCAAAATCAGAGAAGGGTGGTGCAATCAAAGAGCTTGCTGTAGCAATAAGATTTAGTAAAGAGGAATAAGGGAAAAAGTAGTAGTAGTATTGACAAAAAAGTGAGAAAGATGAAGATATGCCGTGAATGTAAAGCATTGCAGATGAAAATTAACTTCTTTAAATGGCTAACGAGAAGCATTTCTGAGGACATACAGTCCTTCTGGAAAACGATTATAAGGCAACACAAAATGAGATGTGGAAGGAAATATGGTGT